GGATACCCTCGTGTGTAGAGTGGTGTATGCTGGCGATGATGGAGGGGATTAGGGGGCAATCGGCGGGTAGGTAGATCTTCTTATTGTAGAGCACCAGCCCATCGTGGAGAGACCAGTTCAGGTTAGCAGACCCGAACTGTATTTGTTGGACCAGGTCGTTCCATTCTGATGACTGTGGCAGTGTGTTCCGAATGTCTTCTAGCAGGGTGGCTCATGGTTGGGAGATCGCATGGAGGAGCATACTATCTTCTTCTCGTCGGGACAGGGCATCTGCTACACGGTTCAGGGACCCTGCCTTGTAGTCCTCCCGAAAATCGAAACCCAGCAGCTTGCTGACCCAATGTTGCTGTGGGGAGGTGGTCAGTCATTGTTCTAGCAAATATTTGAGGTTGTAGTGGTCTGTTTTGACGACGAAAGGTCTGCCCCACAAGTATGGCCTCCAGTGTTGTACTGCCTTGGCTAGGCCAATGAGCTCGCGTTCATAGGCGGGTAATTTGAGATGGCGGTCACCTAGCTTGCGGCTGAAGAAGGCTATCGGGTGCCCTTGCTGCTGAAGGATGGCTCCTATGCCTGTGCCGGAAGCATCACATTCGACTGTGAACTCGAGATCAAAGTTCGGTAGCTGGAGGAGTGGTGTGGAAGAGAGGGCTTCCCTTAGGCTTACAAAGGCTGCATTGGCTGTTCTATCCCAGTGGAAGGCATTTTTCTTGAGCAGGTTGGTAAGCGGGGCTGCTAACAGGCCGTAATTCTGTACGAACTTTCGGTAGTATCCTGTTAGCCCTAGGAACCCACGGAGGGCCTTGGCGGACTGTGGCCGGGGCCAGTCCTTGATGGCCTGAATTTTGGAGTTATCTACAGTTACACCTTGCTCGCTGATTACATGCCCAAGGTAAAGGACTTGGCGTTCCCCAAAGAAACACTTGGATCTTTTAAGGAAGAGTTGGTGCTGCTTTAGGAGCTTGAACACGACCCGCAGATGCTGAATGTGTTCCACCCACGTCTTGCTATAGACCAAGATGTCGTCGAAGAAGACCAGTACATATTTACGGAGGTGGGAGTGGAAGACTTTATTCATCAGGGCCTGGAATGTGGAAGGGGCGTTGCAGAGGCCGAATGGCATAACTAGGAACTCGAAATGGCCATGATGCGTCCTGAAGGCTGTCTTTTCTACATATGCGGAAGACATCCTAACCTAGAAATAGCCTGACCTGAGGTCTAGTTTGGAGAAGAATTGTGCGCCATGGAGTTCGTCCAATAATTCGTCTACGATGGGGATCGGGAATTTATCTTTGGCTGTTCGGCTATTGAGTTCCCTATAGTCCACGCAAAATCTCCAAGTCCCATCCTGTTTGGGTACCAACAGAACTGGGGAGGAAAAAGGGGAGTGGCTGGGCCGAATGATCACCTGCTGTAGCATATCTGTGCATTGCTTCTCTAACTCATCTTTCTGTCGGTGGTGGTAGCAGTAGGGTCGAACCACGACCGGGTCTGACCCTACTATTAGAGGGATCCAGTGGTCGCAGTCTCTAGGAGGTGGGAGGCCCTTGGGTTCTTGGAAAACGCCTGAGTAATCGGTGAGAAGTCTCTCTACGTCAGTTGTGCGCGAATTCTCCCCCTGGAGTGCATGTAGTTGTGTCTTGGTCCTTGTCCGGGTTCCCTGCCAAGTAACCGGTTTTCCATCTAAGTGGAAGGTCATGGTCAGGGCAGCGAAGTCCCACAGGATTGGGCCTAGCGTGATCAGCCATTTAACGCCTAGGACGATGTCAAATTCGTCCAAGGAAAGTACAAAGAAATCTGTTCGGAAGGATTCTTTTTCAACCTGAATTCTGGTGTTCTTGCAGATACCGGGGCTGTGAACTCTTTCCCCGTTTGCTACGGCTACTTGTAGTTGTGGCCTGACTTCCATGGGCAACTCCAACTTGCGGGCCACCTGATTGCTGATGAAATTGTGGGTGCTTCCGGAGTCTACCAGGATGTGCACGGGTTTTCCCGTCACTAGCGCCCTTAGTTGCATTGTCTGGGAGGTTCTGATCCCTGTGATTGCGTGGAGTGATATCTCGGGTTCAGTTGGTGATGGCTCTTCCTCATCCTCTTTAGTCTCGTCTACTAGAAGGCAGAATAGTTTCTTGCATCTATGCCCTGCGGAGTATAGATCATCGCAATTGAAACACTGCCCCTTCGCGCGCCGTTCTGCCATCTCGGCTCGGGACAGATGCCGGATGGGGGGTGACACCCTGCTGCTCCCTATCTGTGATACTGATCTGGAAGGGTTACCGGTGTGGGTCCTCTGCTCCCTGTTGGGTGCGGGGGTAGACACTCCCGCTGACCTTGACGGTGCCCAAGTCGTTGCTGGCCGTCCAATGCTGAAGGGTCCATGGGTAAGCTGCATTTTCCATTCAAAGGCGCGGGCGAGGTTCATTGCTGTAACCAGATTTGGGGGGTGCTGCATCTCTACGTCCACCCTTAAGGGTTCTATCAGCCCTGCTGTGAACATGTCCACTTGCTGATCTGGCATAACCGTGGCCGCTCTGGCAAGCAAAGTTTGGAACTGGCGTTGATATTCAGCCACGATCCTTATTTGCTTGAGATTGATTAGCTCACCCAGCGGGTTGCTCGTCATTGGGGGGTCGAAACCTGAGGAGGCAATAAGACCTGAACTGCTCCCAACTAAGCCCGGGTTCTTCTTGCTCCACGCGATAGAACTAGAGCTGTGCCTCTTCTGTAAGGTGGAAGGCTGCCAGGCTGGCCTTGTCTCTGTCATCCGTGTGCTAGTTGCGGAAGAACTGCTCGCAGCGGTACAACCATCCTAATGGGTCTCCGGTGCCGTCGTAAGATGGAAATTCGAGCCAGCTGTACTTGGGGACAACTACAGCTGTCAGGGCGGTGGCTTGATGTTCGTTAGCTGATTCTGTCTCGTCCGTACGGTGACTGCTGGTAGTGGCTAATCCCTCAGAATTCTTTTCTTTGTTGGAGAGGAACGCTTCTAGCAGGCGACGCAGTTCCCGAACGTCATCTTTGACCTCTCGGACCTCCATACTGGTCTCTGCGAGCCTATGCTCCAGTTCATGGACTCTGGAAGACAGCGGCTCCTGTTCCCCCATGACGGTAGGCTCTGATACCAAGATGTTATGGGCCCGAGCGTAGGATAGCGTCACGGGTCATTCCACGGTAGGAACCCCTGATCTTTCCTTGTCTTTGGCCTTGCGCACAAACCCTATTTTGACTATCTAGTGGGTGATTTGTCCAAGAGATCACCCGAACTTTCCTTTACTCTCTCTCTTGACTGAATATTCGATATCCTCATTCAATAATGGTGTCTCCTTAAATAGGAGATTACAAGAGGAGGGTTCCTTGTTGGATTCGGCTAGGTTAGTCCTAAACGGACTCAAACTCCTACTTCTAATTAGACTACTTACTTTTAATGGTACTATAATTCCTTCTAAGAATAGGGGACAAGATAAAGGAGGATGGGATAAGGGATAAGGAAGGCTGGCGGTGAGTTCTCTTGACGTGTCCAGATAAGGGTCTTGACGTGTCTAGATAAGGGTGGGCCCACCCCTATGGGCTGTCATGTGGGCCCCGCTCTGCTGCTGTTGCCAGGTGCGTGCATGCGGCTCATGGTGCTGCTACCGCGCAGTGCGTGCGCGCGGTGCCGCTGCCGCACAGTGCGTGTGCGGGGCTCATGGTGCCACTACCGTGCGGTGCTGGGCGTGTGCGCGGTGCGTGCTGCCGTGCGGTGCGCGCTGCTGCCTCTGATACCAAAATGTTATGGGCCCGCGAATAGGATCTCGTCACGGGTCAGTCCACGGGGAAAACCCTCTGTTTTCCCTTGTTCCTCCCTGCTCTTGATGAACCTATGTAGGCGCCCTAATGGTGATTTGTTCAAGAGATCACCTAACTCTCCTTTACTCTCTTTCTTGACTGAATATTCGATATCCTCATTCAATAATGGTGTCTCCTTAAATAGGAGATTACAAGAGTCCTAATCTTTGGGAGTCTCCTTGGTGAATAGGGAGACTAACAATTCTATCTTTCTAAGTATAAGATATGCTAATCCTAATCTGATAATAAGATAAACTAATCATAATCTGATAACTTACAAGATAAGATAAGAGCAATAGAATATGATAAGAACAAGCAAGATGATCTAATCTAATCTGGCGGTGGATCAGGTTCTTGTTACTGCCGGCGGCGATGGTACGTCTTTCCGAGGAATGCGTCCATAACAGTATCAAACACAACCTATGATTTGCATTCCTATCTGATAATCTGATATAAAAATTTGTAGGTTTTGTCTCATTTGCACTCATTGGTTGTACAAATATATATATATATATATATATTAATCTCAAAGACATACGAAATTTGCACCACCTTCCCTTTACCTCAAATTTCTCTGATCCAAGTAAATCATACTCTTGATTTTTTTTTTTTGTATTAATCCAGGAATAGACTATGGACTCGGGTCAGATTAATATATATGCTTAAACCTTAGCTGAGGCATAAGAGGAAACGCATTTTCTTTGAAGAACAAATGGAACAAGAGAAGGTAGCATCAAGTAAGCTTTATTGTCACAGCCAGGACTGACAATTACTTTATTGATCCTGCAAAAGTGATCTGATCAGATCATCTGTTGCATAGATATCCTATTTGCCATTACTACTACTGATGAAGCATGCTGAAATTCTTGGGCTAAGTTCTAACCATGAGAACATCAACAACCCAGAGAAGAAATCCATATAAATCTTGCTTTTGGATATCTTTTTGGCACCAACATAGTCGAAGATTTCAAACCTGAATGCAACAGTGTTTCAGGAGACAAGCCACATCTGAGTCATGAAAGCATCTGATGGCTTGAAAATTTTTGTTGGCTGCATCTCTAGTTTGAGAGTTATTTCCAAATTAATGAATCCATCTAATTGCATTTATTTATGGGATTGTGAAAAGCTTGATTCCTTTACAAATTATTTTAAGAACATAGAAAGGAAACTGCAGTATCTGATCTTCAACCTTATTTGGTAAGCAAGCAATCACTGAAGGTCAATTCTGAAGAAAAAGAGGAAGACCCAGAAAGATCTGTGTCATAGAGAACAATTACAGTAAGAAAGCTTCTGATGAATAATTGAATATTCCTCAGAACCTAACCCTTACCATACAAAATAGAGAGAACCCACAAGGATTCCTAAGAAAACTCGAGAAAGAAAACAAAAAAAAATAAAATAAAATAATAATAATAATCGCAAAAAAGATAAACAAGAAAGAAAGCGCTGAATCCGGTTTCTCTGCTTCTCCACAGTTGACGAAGCTCCATGACATCAATTCTGATGAAGCTACAACAGTATCAGATCTCTTGAAATTGCAGGAGAGTTGGCTGGATTCTGCACAAGAGGAGGAAATTTCAGGGAAGCTGCAAAAGGATCTTTAAAATTCGTTGTTTCTACATTGCATTCACTGATTTCTCCTTTATTGTTATTGACTTGATCATCGAAAACCACCCAATTATCAGTAACTAGCGTCGTCTTCTGCAAATTCTCTGGTTCTTTCTGTAGTTCAACTTCAACATATTTAGTTTCTACCACAACCTTCGCCTTATCGGTCTCAGAAACATCGGATTTCTTTTGCAGTGGAACACCATTTATAATTCTCTCAAGATCTCGGATCCCTTCTTCTGGAATGTGCAGAACTTTGGGGCACTCTGATGCATTCAGAACACCGAATCTCTTGCAGAAATCAAAATAAGAAGAGAGCTGTTCACCCTGTATAGCTGCCTTCTGCAAAACGGTCAGTGCCTTCGCAGCCTCCTTCTTCCCTGCTGAAAATATTCCCATCAGAAGTTTCGCAATCCCATTGTAGATTCTGTCATAAATCTCAAAGATCTCGATGACAACGCAATCCATGGCTTCAAAGATGAGCTTAACATTCATCCCATCAGCATGAGGCCTAATCTGCAGAAGCAAATCAAGTAATGCCTGCAACTGTTGCAGTTCCAGTAGAAGCTTCATCATCGACTCATCTTTTTCCTTGCTTCCTCTTTTCTCTACAAAATCACGGCTTAAGATGACGGACCTTTGATCAAGATAGACAAAGTAGACACGGACGAATACATTGAAACCCCATGTCTTTACAGTGCTGGAATGGCCATCACTGAAATTCGAGAAATCAAACGGCAACCTCCCAATCTTCTGAACGGCCGGAATTTTGCAGCAGAAGACACCGTGCAATAGCATTAGGCCCTTGAGAGCCACGACCCAGCTCTGAGTCTTGTCCATTCTTGCCGACAAAGCACGCAGGAAAGGCCGGAGGGAGGCCGGAGAAGTGCGAATCCAGGAAAAGACTCTCTGGGCATTCTTGTAATCCAAGGAGAATTCGTCATGGCTGGTAGCTTTGATGATGGCTTCTTCAAGCTCTGGATTTCGAGAAGCTTTCTTTCTTGCCAACTTGGCAAGATAAATGCTGTTATTGTCTTTCCACACAGCTGAGGCCTTCTTCCAGACCTTCATCCTTGTTGGGTCTCTCTCTCTTTTGCTTTCTCTTCTTCTTGTTGTTAAGAAGAAGGGGAGCTTCTGTGGTCCCAATTATTTCTTCCCCTCCTTTTCTTGGTCTTATTTTCAGTGGAAGAAGGCGTTAAATTTTCCAGCAATTTCCAAATCCAAGAGCAAATACTGCCCATCTTTGTTTTCTAATTTCCTGATCTCTTTTTCAGCGGAATTTGCATTTCTTTTGGAGCAACGGTTGGTTTTCGGAGGTTTGAAACCTTCAATGTCGTTATTCCGTTGGATAGTAACAATTGGGCATTCCCGTAAGACTCCGGATCTCCTGTTCACGAGAACTCTGTCCACTCCTACTCACATACACTACCCTCTGAATTGGGAACATCTCCCCTTACATATACTATGCAGAGGATGAGATATTCTCCATGTGTGACTGCGATTAATATGAACAGAGTTTTCGTGCTCCCAACTCTTCATGTAGATTACCATTATTTTCAGTTGATCAATACAATTTGGTATATAAATAAGAGCCCAGATTTCCTATTCACTTTACCATTACACATCTCTCAATTCATAATAGAGACGTGTGGCTCATCAATACACGTCAAGTTTATGTCTCCTTATTTTAATAGTCCTCTCATTATATTTTGTTAGAAAGTAAAGTGAGTCAGTCAACTATGACAGATATACAAGAAAAAATACAAACAGCTCAGCGTGAAAAAGACCTTCCCCAAGCATCACTAAATACAAGAAGTCACTAGGAATAGGAAAAGACACCCCCCGCCAGGTTGACCAACCCAATGTTTTAAAAGGCGGCTCAGAACCGGAACTGCTTTGGCCGCTAGTTTCTGGCTCAGTTGTTCCACCGTCCGGTCCAAACAGATGGTTTGTTGCAATTTTAAAAATCAATTCAAACAAAAAACAGCAAAAAAAAACATTGTCTAGGTTGAATGGGTTGACGGTTAAACTGCATGGGTCAGTGGATCGTTGATTAAATGGTTTTGGTAAAAGATCAGGTAAGGGGTGAAACAAAACTGGTTGTCCAAACAGTCTGACCATCCGGGTCAATGATTCAAAAACAATGGGCTAACCAATCGGCCTTTTTTAGGTAAATTGTTGAAACCTCCCCTGAAGTTTGGTAATTGCAATCATCTCCCTTGAACTTTCAGATATAGTTGCAAGTTGACCCCCTCTATTAGAATCCTCAAGAGGTACAAAAATGTCCTAAATACACATGCAATTATAGGAAAAAGCAATACGAGGGAGTTTAAAGTTGCAACTTTACCTTTGGGTGATTGTTATGAAGGGCAGATTTAGAAAATAAATCAATCTTGAAAGAGAGATTGGAAGGGTTTGGGGTAGCCATTTATATGAAGAGAAAATTTAAAAAATAAACATTTTGATCAAAAGTAACTCCAAAGGTATTTTGGACATTTTTGTGCTTCTTGTTAGAGGATTCTAAATTGGGGGTAAAGGACTGTATCGATAGAACCTTGCTTGCAACTAGAGGTGTAAATCAAGCCATGTTGGGCCAACATGGCATGACCCACATGTGGCCCATGCAAAGAGCGGGCCATGTCATGCTGGCCTACGAGCTGTGCTTCCCTCCCCTAGGTTACTTTGGGGGGTCGGCCCAACATGGCCCATGGCCCGATCCTACACATGCCTATGCCGTTTTGTGGGCTACAAGTCATACTAGGTTGGGATACGGGCTGAGCCTTGAGCTGTAGGCTGAATTGATCCAGACTATTTTTTTTGTTTTTTTTACACTTTGATTTTATTATTTTTTGCTAAATAAAACTAAAATACTTAACTTTCCTTTGGGAACAAATTAAAAACATAAAAATCTAACAAAAAATAAAAAAAAACAACTTAACAAAATACAAAATGGACAACAAATTGGAAAAAATAGGAATTTTATTTCATTTGAATTTGAACAATACAATTATGAATGGATAAATGAAATATAAAAAATATAATATAATTATAAATTGAAAATAAAAAATTACATTGTTGAAAAAATAACAAATAATTTAAATAAAATTGAAAAACAAAATTTACAATATTTAAAAAAATGCTACACAATTATTGAGTATACAAAAAAAATATTGGCTTTATCATTTTTCTTCAAGTTCCACCTACATCTCCATCTCCTTGACTTTGATTCTCAGTTTTAGGTGTAGTGTCATGCCCTCCTTTGTCTTGTAATCTATCCTCAACATCCAATAAATCTTTAAAGTAGAAGCACATTTCCAAGCTTTCATTATTCATGTAGCTTCTCTTATTTTCTAGTGTCCTAGTACTTAAACTAAAACAAGACTCCAATGGAACTATAGACATCGGAGGAGTTAGTAGATCACATGCCATGGCAGTAAAGACTGGATAATTGTTTTTTATGTTCACCCCACTAGGATAAAATATAAAAATTATTCATTTCTTCTGAGTTGAAGAAATCACCTAAGCTAGAAAAATTTGCTTATAAATAAAAATTAAGTTCAGTAAATGAACTTGTTGATGAAGTGGGAGTAGAATTCTACCTCTTACTTATTAGAGGCCAAACCTTTTCTTTTCCACTACTGGAACTAGTTTCAAAAGTGGAAGTTGCACCTGTATAAGTTGTAGATTTCTTATGCCTTATCATTTGAGATTCATATAAACTATACATTTAAATAATAAACTATTAATTTCTTCTTTTTTCAGTTTCAAATTCAATATTTATATTTTCACAATATGATTCAGGTAAAACATCTAACCATCTTTCCTTTTCCTAGGGTCTAATATTGTATCTAAGCAATACAAAAGAGAAATGTTCTCCCAATATTTTTTGAATTTATTTTCATTTGTTTCAATATTACTTTTAAATTGTGAATTTCTTCTATATGTTGCAAAACATTCACTAATCATAAATAATTGATTAACTAAAATACAACTAGTTGGGTAATAAACACTAAAAATCTCATTAGTTGCATCATAAAAGTTTTGTAAAAAAAAATCTTTTATACAAATTGTCATTTCCTAGTCTTCCTCAAGTATAATATCACGTGGCATTTTTGTATTATATAAATCAATAGTAATTTGTTTGAAAGAAATACAACTTTCTAACATAGAATAAGTATAATTCTATCTATGTTGAACATCTAATACAAAATGTTTATATTTTAAACCATAATTTTGACATAAATATTTAAATTATTGTTTTCTTGCTCTAGAACTTTTAATATATATATAATACAATTTCTAATTTGAGAAATATGATGAGAACTAATACTTAAAGCATCCTAAATATATAAATTTAAGATGTAACATGACATCTAATATGAAATAATTTACCATTTAAACATGGTTTTAATTGAATTTTAAAATATTTATTGCTGAATCATTATTATTAGGATTATCAAAACTAATAGAAAAAAAATTTATTTTCAATTCTATATACATATAAAGTATTTAAAATACTTGCAGCAATAGCTGAGCCAATATGTGACCATTTAAGTCTAGAAAAATTTAATATTCTTTTTTGTGAAAGCCAATTTTCATCAATAAAATAACTAGTAACACAAATATAACTTATATTAAATTTATAGGTCCAAATATCAGAAGTAATTGAAACTTTAGAATTAAGATTTGATAAAATAGAAATTAAATTTTGTTTATATGAATAAAAAACTTTTAAAGCATATGTTCTAATAGTATTTCTAGAAACTTTTTTAAATTATGGATTTATAGAATTACGTAAAAATCTTTCAAGTTTAATATCTTCAACTAATAAAAATGGTTGTTCAACATGTAAAATATATTTTGCTAATTCTTGCATCATTTTTTCTTAAGAATATTTAAAAGTACTAAAAACCCCACGGCCAATTTGTGTTTGTGATGTTTCCTTTCATTCTTCTTCTTGTTTTTCATGGGAGAGAATATGTCTGCCCAAGTTGCCAGTACCACCCTTGCTACAGTAGCTTGGAAAACGGTTTTTTTCCCCTTTCCCCTCAACCTCCTCTATTTTAAATATTTTCCAAATCAAGCTACTCAACTTAGTGCCATTTTTTACCCTAGTAGTAGTATTAGGAGTGGGAACTTCGGCAATATCAGTAGCATCGTCAACATTGGACATCATGGGGAATTGGTTTTGGGAGGAGCCAACCATTTTTTTAAATTCTAAAAAAATTAATTTAATTGCACTTACCCGGATTGTGGGTTTAGAATCTCACCTTGATTTCAATGATTTAAGCTTCAAAGCCTCCTAAATTACTAACTTGAGATACTTGAGTAAGTCTTCTTCTTGTTGAAGCTTGAATAAAGTTGAGAGTTGGAGAGTAGTGAGAGAGAAAGAGAGTACGAGAGTGTATAAGACTGTATGAGAGATTGAGAGAGTATGAGAAGAGAATTGTTAAATTGATGTGGTGAGAATGGTGGAGGATAGGTTTATTTATAGGAATTGAAAATAATTTAATTACCCAAAATACCTTAAAAACTAGCCATTTTTTAGTTATTCAGAGAGGTATTTTGATCATTATAAAGCCATTTATCATTTTACCCAAAATGGCCCCCAAACTAACTGTTATATACCTGTTAGAGGGGCATTGTTATCATTTTTTCTCTCCCAAAGCCATAATACATAAATAACCCCTATATGTTTATAGCTGTTAGGGGGTATTTCTATAAAACCCACAAAAAAATTGAAAACTAGTCGTTGGGGAGGGGGGGGGGGGGAGTCCCCCAATGGTTAGTTTCTTGGGCAAGCCCGTGGGCCATGCGCACTGGGTTGTGCCGCATGCTAGGTCATGCCATACCTGGCACACATGATTATGCCTTGCCCGACATGGCTTGTACGATCGTGCCATGCTTGGCACAACCCGTGTTCTGTCGTACCAGGCTACGACTGGCATGACCTGATTTACACCTCTACTTGCAACTATGTTAAAAAGTTAAGGGGAGATGATTACAATTACCAAACTTCAAGGGAGGTATTAGCAATTTACCTTTTTATGAAGTCAGTCAACCTATCAACTCAAATTTTCTATAGTAGTCCTAGCATATTCTTTCTCATTAATTTTCTATAAATAACCCCTATTATTCTTACACTCCTAATCGATCTCTCTAGCTCATTAGATCCACCACTAAGCCATACTCCAATTATTTATTTATTCATTTATTTTTGGCTTCGTGGGACTATACAACAAAGTTAGCCCATTCTCATCCCCTTAACTCCCCAACCTTGGTGATAGAGGGATTTGATCTCAGGTCTATGCTACAATTATTGGATGTTTGTCAATAAATGTTAAATCTTGATTATTAATATATATATATATATATATATATATATATATATATATATTGATTTTATGAGAATTAAGATATATTTAAATACATGCATATTTTAATTCTTTCATCTTTTCTTAGCATTTACCAATTGTATCCCCATAGTTCAAACTCCCCATGAACAATCATAGTATATGTTCCTT